TTTTTTTGTGTGTGTGTGTGTGTGAGAGAAGGGGGCGGACTGTGCCAAGCTGTCCGTTATGTGACTCTGACACGTGCTACTTCGTTTCTTCTTTGCGTTTTGCCTTCCCGGAAATGCTCCAAGATGCTCTCATGTCAATGCTACTCCTGACAAGTCCCCCACGCAAAAAGCAACTGCGAAGCAGATTGAATGCTGCTGATTGTTTCATCATTCATACAATGCAAAACCCCTGCTTCTTAACATCAGTGGCACTCCTATTGTTGTTGGAGGCGACTTCCAACTTCCCCGGGCCAATCATCAATGACATCATCCGAGCCCACCAAAGTGAGACTTGCCCACACACGCATGCACTTGCGCACATAGCGAAAAAACTCAACAAGTAAGCACGGGGCATGCATACATGCAAGATGGGTTGATCACAAACATATCCGGAGAACACAGCAAACAAAGTCTGAATCTGAATCTTTAGCTGCAAAAACATCAACGGGACAATGGACAGGATTTTCTCAGAAAAGTGGAGGAGTTCTTGCACATCACAAAACAAAAACGATGCTGCGAAGGTAATGGCTCCCCAAACAAAACACAAGGGAAAAAAAGGCTCGGCGGAATATGATAGGGGAGTTCCTTATGCTTTTTCTTTCTTTTGTGCTTTTTTTCCTTTTCTGTTTTTGCGGGCGAAGCTGCAACGGGTCATCTAGTCTCCATAACATACACAGCACACTCAACATCACTGTATTTGGCCGGAGAAATAGTTTGTATACATTCAGTATAAGGGTGTGTGGTGTTTGGGAGACGATGGTAACCTGCAGGTGATGGCAGGTGCTCCTCCACAGGCAGGTTGTGAAATGGTGGCCGTAAGTAAGAACTCGTCGCGCATGAGGGAATACTCACACTAGCGTTTTTCGAAATGCATCAGACCGCAATTTCTGCCACACCTGTATGCATCTGGCCGCAATCTCGTCCAGAAATAAGTAAAGAAGTCCTAGTGTGAGTATGCCCTGAGTCACACAAAAGTAGAGAGAGGTGTCATAGCAACAAGAAATGCTCTACCGGCTTTGCCTGAGCAGAACACATGGTCATTGTGAATGTATACAGCCTAGTTCTCTGGTCGTATACGGTCTATATGAGAGGTGCGTTGTGTTCGGTGGAAGCCTGTAGGAAACTCGGATTCGGCCGGCTGCAAGGTGCAAAGATGTTGTTGGGTGGAAGTCTGACAGCAGCCCCTGAACTCTTTTTCCAAAAAGGGAAACCAAGAGCCAACTAGCGGTTTCATTTTCTGGAAGGATATTGGTGCCAGTAAGGAAAAAAAAAAAAAAAAGCTTCAATGGGTACTATTTTGTCAGCGCCTACTACCTTATTCTCTCGAATATAACTCCCACGAGTTATATTCAAGTTTGTCTCCTACCTTCTTTCCCCGAATACAACGTACGGTCATTATAGCTGTATTTGAGGCATCTTTCAGTCTAGATACGGCTATAATGACCGTACGTTGTATTCAGGGGAAGAAGGTAGGGGTCACTGAAACCCTTTACCCCCACCAAAAAAAAAAAGAAGAAAGAAAAAGTTAAAAGAAAGTTAAAAAAACCCTTAAACCACCACTGGCCACTGGCCCGGAAGCGAAGTAACTCAACTGAGGCATTTTCCTGAGCCTGGAGAACTGAGGGCATACTCACACAAGCACTTTCCTAAATGCATCTGACTGCAATTACGGCAAGAGCTGGATGAATCTGACTTCAATCACGGCCAGCACTTGGCAAACAAAGTCTTAGAGTGAGGATGCCCTGAGGCGAAAAGTTCGGGCCCACCAGCAGCAGCAGGGAGCAAAAATATGCCTCCTCCTGCCACATGCATTTGGTTTGCGTCTTTTTTTTTCTTTTTTTCTTTTTTTGTGGGCAAGAGTTCTTTTTTTATTTTCTTCCCTACTGGCAAAAAATGCCTCCGGGCTAAGTCCCACTAGCAGCTCAACGCCTGAATCTGGACGTGTTTGTGGAGACGTGCAGTTCAGGAAACTCGACACCATTTCTGCACATCTCCGCAAAAGCGTCCACATTCAGACGTTGAGGTACCTGCACGCTGGTAGTGGGAATTGGCCAGTACTTCCTAAAGTCATGCCCGTAAACAAGCCGCCGCGACTTTAGGAAATGTACGGGCCACTAGAGAAGCATCCAAATTCATCCGACTGGAAATGTTTCTACTCCTATGTTTTTTCCGCGGCCGATACCTGGGCCAAGTGCTAGTGGTTTAAAAATTGCCAATGTTGGGGTAGTAGTCAAAATGTTTTTGCACCCCCTCGGGACCCCTCTTAGGTCCAGGAGGGTGAGTCTTTTCTGTGGTCCCCACGTATATGGGTGCGGCCTTGGGAAGGCCTCCGGGAGATGGGCGGTTTATTTGTGTGAATTTGTTCATCTGAGCTACCATCTTCACCCGAATAGAACGCCCGGTACTTATTGCTGCATCTGGACTGAAAGTTGGACCAAATACAGCTATGGTGACCGGGCGTTCTATTAGGGTGAAGACCATAGGCTAACTCTGCTGTTGGCAAAGAAATTGTGTGCCTTGTTTTTTTCTTTTTCTTATTCTCTTTTTTGCCCCACAACAAAAAGTGTTCGCACTGTTCAAGTCTCCCTACCGTCTTCACCCGGAATAGAAGGCCTGGTCATTATGGCTGTATTTATAGACTGTAAGTTGCCCCGAATACAGCTATAATGACCAGGCGTTCTATTCGGGTCAAGACGGAAGTCCTTCAAACAAAGAGACTAGCGGACTGATGTCCTTCGATTCCCTCTTTCAATCCACTACAGGAGGACTAGGGCGCTGTTCAAGTTCGCAGCCTCGGTCGCAGAGAAGGTTCGCCAAAAAGATTCCGCTCTTGGTCGGAAGCTGGGGAATGCCTTATCCCGATGGAGTCGCCGACAGCGAGAACTGCATCACGATTCTCAAGGGCGCGTGGTGCGAGGGAACGGCAGCAAATTAGATAGTTGCTGTCCATCTTCAACATCGACTTCGACCTCAACTCAAACTTCAATGACATCTGGCATTAAGAATGGCAAATCGACTCGTTCCTCGGACAGACCTGCAGGATCGAAGTTTGGACCAGGAACACGACGAGGTCAGGAGGGTAAGAAGGTTGGGTTTTGCACATTGATTCCCAGTGCTCAAGTGGCGGGCCGCGAGGATTTCCGGACTGTTCTGCAAACATCGCGCTCCGAGGCTGGACATTCCGAAGAAAACTTTGTTGAAACTACTACGAGCATCGGTTGTGTTGATGATGAGGAGGAAACCAGTGTAGCAGGGCCTTCGGGCGCTATTGGTTGTGTGGGCTCCGACTTACCTCCGTTGTCTATGTCTCAATTAACACGGCTGTTATCGACAGTATTGTCTGCACTGTCGTTGAGGGCGCGATGTCGGATGCAACAGCCACACTTCTTTCTGTTTACTACTCCCATCACAGAGGATGTATCGTCGGTGTTGTCGTCTCGAGTCTCCTGTTCATCTTCCTCATCCCAAGTGTTGTCCTCGTCGTCATCGTCGTCGTCGCCGTCGTCATTGTCTGCAAGGCCTAGTCTGTGCAGCTATCTCAGTGGTTGTTCTGAATTCCCATCATTTTCGTCCTCGCTGTCGACACCGTCCTTGCGCCGTTATCACTCTTTCTCATCCGCTGTGACATTTCTCGCATCTCATCTACTGGACAAGAGAGCCTACCCGGGATCGGAAGGCGTGGTTGGTGAAAAGGGTACATCCAGCCTCGGTGGTCAGCCCGACCACTTGCCATCTCTTGATAGCATGTTTCTGCATGGTGCACTCAATGATCCAATACAGCAAATTATTCCTTCAAGAGGTAGTCGTGAGAACCTGCCGTTTCGGGTAATGAGAAAAACGGAGGCATGGAACGAGTTCAAGGCGACTGCGTGTCCCTGTGCTGATCGCCGAACACGAAGTTGTGGTTGCGACGTTGTAACCAAGGGCTCGAATGCAATGAGCGCAGGACAAGGTAGGCAATCTAGCGAGAGGGACATTGTTGGGACTAAGCGGCCGACGATGCCGTCGACACCGCAGTTAATTCGTACCTCACACCTTTCCGATCCATGGCATCAGCGCGATGTCGTATCTTTCTTCAGTCTCATGTCTCGGAAAGGTGGAAGGCAAGACCTGCTGTCGTTGCCGTGGCGCCCACCTTCCCTCGCTCGTTCTTTTCGGTGTCAGCCGTGTTTTGTTTCGCCGTCTTTAAGATTAACATTGGCGTCTTCATGTCGAAGACTGCAGTCATGATGACAAATGTTTTGTGCCCGCGTGCCCGCTTTAGGCTGAGTGAATGCCGGTTTCTCTCCTCCGACTCTTCTTCTACAAAGTCGATGCCGATGTCAGGTAGGACGTTCACTTGCTTGTGAACTGTGATGTTGCTTCTGTGCGGCGCACTGCGAGCTGACGATAACCTCTCTCTCTCTCTCTCTCTCTCTCTCTCTCTCTCTCTCTCTCTCTCTCTCTCTCTCTCTCTCTCTCTCTCTCTCTCTCTCAGTTGTGACGGTGTTCAGTTGATTATGGCCGCGAGGTCGGTTCTATGCAGCAAACTGTGAGGAGTTGTGATGGTGCCTGGTGCCTGCCTTCTGTCAGAATCATCGTGATGGGAACCTCATGGATACACCTGCGATGGACACATGTCATCGCAGTCGCGTGTGACCTTTTTCATCGAGCAAGCGGAATTGTGTGCAATCCCTTGTACGCATCCGAGTAACAAGTCAGGAAATTGTTTGCTCCTTTTGATCATGTTATGTTTGCTTCTGCTCTCCCCACTTGTTCCCATTTGCAGTGGACGACGGTGCGGTCAACTTGCCGTGTCTCCTTTCTCGATCCACACCGATTCTTGTGGGGAGGTAAAGTGCTTCATCGTCTCTTGCTGTTGCGATTGTTTCCGTTCCCGTTTTGCGGCGGATATTTACGTTTCTATTGCTGTAATTCTGCCCATAACTGACATTTCGATCAAACTGACAGTTTTTTTCTAAAAATTCACGAAATTGAGCGCACCAAAAAACATCATTTTGTACTGTTCTTTGTCCCCATGACGTCGGATGATCAGATCATCGGGTGTCGTGGCAACTGCCGATGATCTGATCATCGGATGGATGTTAACGGTACTTTACGTTGAGGTACATCAGATGGGCAAAGTGAGATAACCACTTCTCACCCAAGGAGGTGTATGTTAAGTTGTTAACGGTACTTCACGTTGAGGTACATCAGATGGACAAACTGAGATAACCACTTTCTCACCCTAGGAGCAATGAAAGTTTGACTAAGTCCACTTTCTTGAATTTAGGGAAAAAAAAATAATGTCAGTTTTAACGAAATGTCAATGGCGTTGTATCATTCGTGTCCTCACTCGTTTGGGAGTAGTGATTGTAGGAGACGCGGAAAGCGGCAATTGGTGTACGTTCCGCCGTGTTCTATTTGTGAATTTCAGAGATCTGCTCCCACCAATTCTAGCGCGGTCTGTCATGTTCCGTTTATGTATTTTAGAGGAGTTTTTGCTCTCAAATTCTGACCATGTATTTTACAGATCTGTTGCGAAATACGCAGCTGCTTATGTATGAGAACTACCTTCTTCCCCCGAATACAACGCACGGTAATTACAGCTGTATTTGAGGCGTACTTCTGTCTATATACAGCCGTAATGACCGTAGGTTGTATTCGGGGGAAGAAGGTTATAGCCCGATTCCCCTCTTTTGCTTCCGCTCCTCCTGCCTCGACTGAGGTTAGTAGTCCAGCTCGTTTGTCCGTCTCCAGGGCATGCAGTGAACACCACAGTCATGAAGTACTCACCTGACTCCCTCTCTCCCTCTCTCCCTCCCCTCCCACCTTATCCATCTGCTCATCCGTCCATCAATCCCATCTCTTCTGTCTGTGGCAATGCTAACCTGCAATCACGAGTCCAAGATCAAGCACAGTAATAATCCAGTGCAAAATGCCACTTAATTGTTTTCAAATCAACAACAGAAATATCACAAACAAATGAAATCCATCCAGGCTCGCCACCCTGCCACGATCACAACGTAAAACAATTGTTGTCACCACTCTCGAGTCTCAATTACTGCCGCCACTCTCAAGTCTCGACTACTGCCGCAATGTAAAACAATCACTGTCAACATCCGCCGTAATGTAAAACAATTACTGTTAACATGCCGTAATGTAAAATAATTACTCCCGCCACTCGCAAGTCTCGACTACTGCCACAATGTAAAACAATTACTGTCACCGTACGCCGTAATGTAAAACAATTACTGTCACCGGTCGCCGTAATGTAAAACTACTGTCACCACTTTCAAGTCACAACCGACTTGAAAACAGTGCCTCACGAATGACTTAAAAGAAACGCCCTGCAGGAGTCTCAAATGCAGCACAAGCCCTCCGAACCCATCCACAAACACTTCTCATATCACGGCGGATGCCACGGAGACCCACATGGGACACCTTGGCCCCCAATATTTGCAGCGCCCGCTGTGTGTATGCCAGTGTGTGTGTGTGTGTGTGTGTGTGTGTGTGTGTGTGTGTGTGTGTGTGTGTGTGTGTGCTTGTGTATGTTGTACATTTGCACCACAACAGCCCCTGTTCCACCCAGATGAGTAGATCCAAAATCGAAGCGACTGTACCTCTATTGCAGCCAATGAAGCACACTTGAGATGAGCCAATCCAGCAATGAAACAGTTCTCTTTGGGGTACCCCTTTTGTTTGCTCTTGCAGCTCTATTGCCTGTATAGCAAGCAGCATGGTGCACAACAGACAACAGATCCATTATGTCCCTTTCTTAAGTATCTTTACTTCAGTTCTCCTCTTTGGGGTACCCCTTTTATTTGCTCTTGCAGCTCCCGTTTTATTATGCCTCTTACGTACAAGGCTGGCCACATTGACTGTGGTTGTGTGCCATCATGTTCGCTATACAAAGCTCCACAAGGAAAGCATGACTGTGCCATACTCTGTGTGTGTGTGTGTGTGTGTGTGAGAGAGAGAGAGAGAGAGAGAGAGAGAGAGAGAGAGAGAGAGAGAGAGAGAGAGAGAGAGATGCTGCTCTCTGCTGTCGCCAAGGCTTTGGCGTTGCAACTGTTTGCTGTAATAGATTGTGGCATCAAACAGTAAGATTTGCGACCACTTGTTGTGGTAGACTGTGGCAGCCAACAGCAAGATTTTGCTTTCGTACCCCACCCGGCTGCGAGCGTGAGGACGACTCGAGTGTACATTAGACTTCACATTGACTTCAGAGTAAAACAAAGAAAAAACAAAAAAAAAAGGAGTTTGTTTTTCTACACGAACTGTGTCGACGAAGTCGAAGTGCTCTACGACTTGTAATTGCATAAGTCGTCCACACATCCAAATTTAGAGAGTAAAATATGTCGAGGGTTGAATGTTGTCAGACTTTTTTTTTTTTTTTTTTTTTTAATGCTTGATACATAAATGCTGAGCTGAACTTGCCGAACCAGGTCAACGCCCCATACTACTGCATCTCGGATCGACAGTCAACGCTTATTATGCTGCACGCGTTACAAAATTTCTTCTTTTTTTTTTAACGCTCGATACAAAAATCCTGCCTGTAGAAATTACATTTGCTGCCCGCATTACGAAATTTCGAGCGAACGGCGTGCAAGAATTTTTGGAGCTCGAATCATAATGAAATCAAACGCACATGAATTCAGCACATACATGGGTGAATGATTGCATAACAGCATAATGCACAATACACTGGCGAGGCAGAACAGGGCTCAAGTGATGACAAGAGTAGCGAGCCAAATAGCAGATTCTGCAGCAGCTACAGTTAATACGAATAAAGCTAGGCTACCAGCCGGGCCGCCCGGGTCCCGGGTGACCAGCCCGTGCAAGGACCAGGGAAGGTCCCAGCAAAAAAAAAAAAAAAAATCAAAAAAATCAAAAAACTCCGAAGAAAAACTATGTTATGCAGAAAAATAGACTGAACAACTTTTGCCTCAGGGTCACATCGAAATTATCCACCAAATTTAGGGAAAAAAATAAAATTTAAAAATATTTTTATTTTTTTTATTTTTTTCATTGTTTTTGGCCCGGCCGGGCAAGTGACACCGGGCCACTCTGGTAGCCTAGGAATAAAGCAAATAATTGACCCAGCATGTCATCTAGATAAACAGAAAAGACTAAAAAGTTTGAATAGATAAATTTTTAATGGCTTGTAATTTTATTTTTTTGTGAAAATTAACCGGCCTTGTTTGTTTTCGTTTTCAGCCTTCAAAGGGGGCTCCTAGATGGGTTGGGTGTTATGAGCAGCTCCATGGGACAATCAGAGCCCCGGGTAGTTAACACAAATGACCGACCGCGGCCACAGAAACAACAGACAACAATCACCGTCCGTGATTCATGAATCATGATATTTTAAATGGGACGCTGGACCCGATTTTCAGCAGGTGCCGCCCGCCACCAATAGATGGAGCAGCCCAATAGATAAGCCCTCAATTTGGATGGTTCTGTTACCACCGCTGGGATGGAGGGCTTACACGGTTACACCCTGTTTTATTTTTGGTCAAGGTCTGTGTGTGTCAAGTTTGGTGTTTGTTGGGGTCTTGGAGTCAACTGTTTTGGCTAGCCCTGAAAATCCTGAAAATCCTGAAAACTGAAATGAGCGAATTTTGCATAAAAACACATTTTTGCCTTGCTATTTTATAGGTTTGTAAAGTTTTTTTTTCATTTTTTTTTTATAAAGTAGTTAGTATGATCTCCACTCTATGAATTGGTGGCAAGTTTGGTTAAAATGACCCTTGGGTTTTGTTATAAATGACCTGACAAGTGGTCTGAAATTTGAGGCCTCCGTTAACCGGCTCTCTAAATTTGGTGAAGAATTTCGGTGTGACCCTGAGGCAAAAGTTGTTCAGTCTATTTTTGTGCATAACATAGTTTTTTTTCGGAGTTTTTGGTTTTTTTTTGTTTTTTTTGTTTTTTTTGCTGGGACCTTCCCTGGTCCTTGCACTTGCTGGCCACCCGGGACCCTGGCGGCCCGGCTGGTAGCCTAGTAAATAAATAAAAATTGTTTTTGGGTAAGTTTTTTTGTTTGCCGAACATTTTCCAAGATTTGTCGACAAGTTGCCTGATGGGCCTAGCTCCGTCCGCACACCCATGATCTGTTGAAATACACAGACGGGAGGTCGAATCCAGATGCAATTAGATGAACAGAAGAGAATTGCTTCTGAATCACCAGGAGCAGGCCAAGGTTGCACATGAAATACAGGGCTGATCCATGAGCTTGAAGTACTGGCAGCAACCTTGTACTGATTGCCACACTTTCACCTGTGAGTTCATCGAGAAGGCTTCAGATCCTGTTCGATCCTCGTTTGCTTCCTTTCCTCCCCTCCTCCCCTCCTCCCAAACTCCTTTTGTTGTTCTCCTCCTGCAAAACTCTCTCTCTCCCCCATATCAGAACGATGTGCCCATTTGGAAACAACTCAAGTCTGCACCTGCTCTCACACAGGGCCCATTGCTTTGACGTTCTGGAGTCACAAGGTGATCCAGTGGAACTCTGTCTCTTAGCCTTTCTTCCTCGCCCACCCACTGCAATCTCCCGTCTCGGGTGGTAGGCCACCACACGTATGTGTTATCGTATGATGCTATATATCTCCCTCCTCTACTCCCACCAGGGAACAGAGAAAGCAGCATGGCTGCAAAGGGCATGCAACACTGAATAAGGAGGAGGAGGAGGAGGAGGAGGAGGAGGAGGAAAAGGAGGAAGAGGAGGAGAACAGGAGGAGAGCAAGGAGGAAGAGGAGGAGAACGAGGAGGAGAGCAAGGAGGAAGAGGAGGAGAACGGGGAGGAGAGCAAGGAGGAGGAGGAGGAGGAGGAGGAGAAGAAGAAGAATGAGGAGGAGGAGAACGAGGGGGAAGAGGAGGAGAATGAGGAGGAGAGCAAGGAGGAGGAGGAGGAGAGCAAGGAGGAGGAGGAGGAGGAGGAGGAGGAGAGCAAGGAGGAGGAGGAGGAAGAGGAGGAGGAGAACGAGGAGCAAGAGGAGGAGAATGAGGAGGAGGAGAGCAAGGAGTAGGAGGAGGAGGAGGGCAAGGAGGAGGAGGAGGAGGAGAAGACGACGAAGAATCAGGAGGAGGAGGAGAATGAGGAGGAAGAGGAGAACGAGGAGGAGGAGGACGACGACGACGACGAGACAAAAAGAAGGAGAAGAAGCGAGAGGGAAGAAAAGACTTTGTCATCTTGTCCACTTTCCAGGCCTGTTGGGCCATGACCGTGACTCCTTTCCATTTAAGGAAGGGTTATTGATGCTCCTACCCATCCCGTGTCTTGTCAACTTCATCCTATCTGTCAGCATAGTATGCCTCAGAATAGGTTAGGTTAGAACGTAGCAGTCAGTATGCATAGTAAACTGTGCAAAAGGTACGGTTCAAGGACTCCGATTGACTGCATGTTATTTTCAGGCAAATCGCTTGACTCTTATTTCAGGCAAATTTGCGCCATAGAACGCGATTACCATTTGTGAGCAAATTACAGACGTGACCTCCCTGGAGGCCGAACTGCATCTCCCGACCACTGTTGATTGACATGTCCAGGGGTCGGTTTTGTTTTTATGCGATATCAACAATTTTGTGGAAAGTTAAGCTCCTCTTTTCGTCAATTGGGAAAACGATCAGTAAGCACAAGAGAAAACTTAGAAAATAAGCTTTTTTTTTCCCTTAGAAAATAAACCTTAATCGATAGACCGCGTTTTTTAAAGGTTTGTTGAACTTCGTTCTATAGTGATTCTGAGCACGTGTGTTTAGGGCATCACACCCTGCCGTGCACGGATGGCCTCGAACTGGCACCCTCCGCCACAGGAACGAAGTATCGTAACCACTACAACGCTTGGAGGTGTTATTAAAACTAGATCCATACCGGTCCACCTCCAGGGCTGCAGCGTCCTTGTACTCAACACCACACACCCAACACACACCACACCACGGACTTGACAATCACGCACACTCCGTCGAACAACACGTAGCCCACCACCGCTACCAAACCCGGTCACGCACACAGGGCCAACTTGCCCGCGGGTTCACGGGCGCCTCACAGTGATTCTGAGCACGTGTGTTTAGGGCATCACACCCTGCTGTGCACGGACGGCCTCGAACCGGCACCCTCCGCCACAAGAACGAAGTATCGTAACCACTACAACCCTTGGAGGTGTTATTAAAACTGGATCCATACCGGTCGTGATATCCAGCCCACCTCCAGGGCTGCAGCGTCCTTGTACTCAACACCACACACACAACAGACCACATTTTATTTTGTAAAAAAAAAAAAAAAAAAAAGGAAGTTATGATCCTGCTACAGTAATGCCAACGAAATTAAGAAAAGCGCAGAGAAGACGATTTTCGTGCTGCAGTGCCACCAGTCAAAAATATGCAAACGCCAGAAGGGAAAAAAAAAACAATACATGGTTTTCTTACCGACAGGCAAGCTCAGTCGGTACAACTATGAACTGTTGAAACACATACGCAAGTTCGAATCCCGATGCAATCAGATGAACAAAACAAAATATAATTGCGAATGACACGGGGCCGGTCGGGTCAATGATAACATCTCAAGGCCGGCGACCTTTAATTTGGGGGGGGGGGGGAAACAATACACAGTTTTACAGTCATCCGTTGATCTCTTCTTGCACTGATTTGACGGTTACACCAAAATGTAAACATGCTGATGCAACCATTGAGACAATGACTGCAATTCAAATAGTCACAAAAATAACAACATGCAGATGTATGCAGCCGTCCTCAAAGAAAAAATCAGGACCTGCACACACACACACACACAGAGAGAGAGAGAAAGAGAGAGAGAGAGAGAGAGAGAGAGAGAGAGAGATGTGCGGCTTTCCTGGAGAACTATGACAAGGCATGGAACTCCACCTGCAGTTTTATTTTGGAATACATGGACATTCTCTGAACCACATGAGGTATGAGCAAACCTTAATCCTCATTTTATTTAATTCTGGATTTTGGGAGTAGTTGGGTATGCTGATAATTCATTTTATTTGACAAGGTAGAGTCTTGTACGATTGCGAGATTTCTCTGATTCAGCTTCGTTTGAGGAAATTTGTTAACTGTATAAGGTGGTGTATTTGAAATTCTGAAGATATCAATCGAACGCATCCGGGGCAGATATGTCGTGGCTCAGCCTTCGGAGGAGTCTAGGGAAATCTGACAAGAATGGTTTATTGCAGGCAATGATTTTCTGTCAGAGTTGTGTTTTAGCAAACACGATAACACACAGGTACATGTTCGCATGCTTGTAATCACTTGCTCATTCTTATCTCGCACGCCGCTCTCTCGTCCTGCTCGCCAAGAAAAGACAACCGGAACGGGCCTCCTTTCGACTGGCGCTGCCAGCCATTTTGCTCCGAAGGTCGAACGCCGGATGTTTCAGTTGAATGCACACTGCTACTTCAAAAAATTGGTCGGGAAACGAATTGGTGACCTAACAGACTCTTTAGCAATCGTGTGCTTGAAGACACCTAGACCTAGCAACAATCCTATGCTAGAAGACACCTGAGCTTGAGTGTTATACCCTCCGCTCCCTCCACTATAAGAGAGGTTGTGTGCTGACAAGGCAAGTACCCATGCAGGAGAGGCCCCACTGCAAGCACCAACCTGTTCCCAACCTCCAGATATTGCATGTTACACTACCGTCTTCACCCGAAAATGACGCCCAGGTTATATTCAATTTCCCCTAAAGTTTTTACTCACCTTTTTCCAAATAGAACGCCCCTTCGAATAGAATGTCATTTACAGTGAGCGTGCTGTCCTACATATTGCCTGTACCCCCCCACCCTGAACACCTCTGTGTGTTATGCAGGTGATCGCCCCCTCACCCTACCAGGTCAGTCTGCCAACCTGACTGTTCCCACCCCATCACCTCATAACCCACACGCTTCCCAGTCATCCCCCCATCATCTCTACAATTTTTTTCTTCTCTCCTACTTTCCTTCGAACCTTACTCCTACCATCCTCCTACCATCCTCCTACCAATTTTCTCATCGCTATTATGTTAACCCACTTGCCCAAGATATCTCCAACCTCCTCTTCGCCATATAACATGATAATTCAAATCATCACCATAAGGTGCATGCTCTCGCAATTAAAATGAAAAACCATGTTCCTCCTCCACCACCTCAACCGCCTCTCGCTACCTCTCCACCTCCCCTTAACAGGCCCACTCCCCCTCTCCTTTTCGCCTCCTCAAACCCTTGTTCTCTTCATCTCGCCTACCACCCCCCAATCAACATTGAAGCATTCAAACAGCTAAGACGACAACTCTTGCTTAAGGAAGAGGAGAATCGCTCTCCGTCTAGCATCTAAAAAACGAGTTACTCAAGCGCGATGAAGAGAACCAGATCCCCACCCAGCTATATCATAAGCTTCAATCAGAGATGGATGTTATTATAAAAAAACTCAACGACAAGTCTCAACCCGCCTACGATGAACTCTCTGTCTGGAAAAAAATGTTTGTTTCTCCTTACTAGTACTTCCAAGTGAAAGCATACATTCGCTTTCTTGCAGTCAACATGAACTACTCCTATTACCTCATTGGAAAGTTGTTGGCATCAGACTTTGCTCAAGAGTGACTTCCATAACCAAAGACTGTTTCGGTTCTCGCATCTCAAAAAAAGTGAAGCACCACATGAGCAAGGCTAGGAGAGAAGGGATGGACAATGTTTTCCCTCTAATCAACTTCTCATACAATAGCTGCAAGAGCATCGTCCGTCGAGACGCACACATGTAAGCAAGAACAAGTGCCCAATTTATCTAACTTGTTGCCCCAGACTGTCAATAAGTCCATGCCATTTGCGTTCATGGGCTTATCTTCTATCCTTTATTTATGATTGTAGGTTGAGAATATATGAATCTGATTCATCTTCTTGTCGCAAGAAGGACGATCCTCAAAAGACCGAAGACCACAAAAAACCCTACTCTTCCAAGAGGCACTACGATGAAGACAAGGACCGTGACCACAACTACTGTCGTGCTTCAAAAAAGTTTTTCAGCGATTCTGATCATAGACACCATAACCAGTCTTGTTCCTTATTAAACAACGGAGCACGTCCTTGAGAATAATCCTCCTCTCTTCCACACCTTCTTCATTCTCAACATATTCATTTCTATTTCCTCATCACCATCATTCCAGGATCTTCGCCTTGCCATATTTGCTCTTCAATAACCCACATCATCGCTTCGCATCCCAAACGATTTCTCCATCGCTTCACGATGTCGAGCGCATGAGCCCCCGTTTTTTTGCAAAGTGTGGGAGCCCTCCCGACCATGTCACGCAAGAGTTAAACGAAACAAAACAAAAAAATAGAGACAACTTGGGGACGACGCATAAATAATCCCACGAACCACCGAGACGGTCGCGGTAGCACCGTTCCCTCGCCGCTCTGGCCAGGTGTGCCAGCCATATATCCCGCGGTCCCCTGCGACATGATAGGTTCCCGCGGGGCATAAACTTTCCTTCCCTAAGGGGTTGTCACCACCCTTAGGGGTATATCCCTACCAAGCGACCGACCCGCGCGCAAAAGTTTTTACATGCAGTCGCAGAGGTAGATCGGCTGAGAACGTTTGCTCGTTCGTTGTTGTATAGAAATGCTTAGTTAACGCCAAATGGACCCAAATTTCGCCCATTCCTTAGGGCGCTGATCTCCTAAGTACGAAGCGGATGTCGGTCGACTAGGATGATCTCAACCAAACGTGAAACCCAAATATTAATCATAGTCCCTCAAACGCACATACAAAAGAAAGTTAAAATATCCTCACATAATTGCATCAAGAGAAATCAACCGTAGTTGATAGAAAGGTATATCCAATCAGAAATGATAACTAAAAGAATCAAAATCGTCTTTTGATACATCCAATAACACAAGATCAAAATAAAATTTGACCACCCCGGATCGAACTTCCCAAAAATCATACGGCCGCCAACAAGGTGTTGGCTTCCTACAATAACATAAATGCAGCCGACAAAGTAGTTGAACTGCCTTAGTTTTAACTTGATGAAACGCATTGCCAAAGTTGTTCATTCCAGTCTACCGACGACCTAAGACTAGATACGCACACATGTCTTCACACATTCCTAAGGATGACGTACTGCTTTGTGAATGATTCTTAATTAGGTACATTGCTTTATGTGTTGCATGCCTCTCCCTCTAGAAAGTAGTCTGGGGTACTCCTTCTCCTCGCCCGAGCACAAAGCTCGGATCTCATAAGTCGGGCCGTCTCCACTGAATTGACAAAGTACCCAATCATAAAACGGTCCACTCCGGGTCAATAACAGGGTCGGCTCCTGGAGCAATGAACCCCTGCCCCAAATGCTTCTTAGAGATAAAGAATATGTTCACTGCAAGTAAAATTTTA